AATGTATACCTCTACGAATCAAAATCAGTTATTGTATACATTTTGATTTGTGAAGGTAGGTATACAATTATATAAGCTTGTCAGTGTATATGTTATCGCTAATATCCGAATACATCCAATTGGATTTTAGAAATTATGCATGCTGTCTAAAGTTATAACTGCATATATGCAAATTAGTCCATTGCAAATTGGAATGCATTAATGCCACTTCTCAAGTTTTTTTATTCGGAATTTTACACATTTAGTATATACGTGTTCGACCACAGAGTGGTCTGTGGGTGCGACACTGACAGTGCGTTTTTTCATGATAATAAAGTTTTTGTTCATATATACCAAGATAAAGTCGGCGCGTTATAACTTGACGAGAACACCCTAAGCTCAGTTGCCGTAATTTCGTAATGGTACTGCCTTAAATTTCAGTTTAACAAGTGTTTGGCAAAGCAGTAGCGCGTATTCAATATTTACTTTTATTTTTTTTGTCTAATTATTGTATAGAAAGTACAAAAGTCAATTTTCCTGAAAAATTACAACTTTTTTCGGATGATATACGTACACTGATATCTATATTATGATTATAATAATTATTCCTTTTATTTTAATTCAGTAAGACCGGGCCGCAAAAAACATTTTGTATTAAGATTCGTTTTACTTGACACTTCGATTTATAAAATTATAATTTTGTAATTTAACTTTATAAATCATACCTACATTATTTTGGAATTTTATATTTTAAATTGACTCCTTTTTGCAAAAAGACCCAGCGGATATTTTTTTAAATTAAAATAATGTTAAGTTGTTGATTGCTACTTTTTCCAAATGCGTATATTTTCTGATAAAAAATTTAATTTTTTTTCAAAAAATACAATTTTTCCCAGTTCTGGGGAAAAACAAGTTTTTGCCCCAATGTTTCCGGTTTTTTTTTTTGACACTTTAAAACCCTATGTATTACACAGTACGACAAAATTTGATTTTTTTTCCCTCCCATTAAATTTTTTTACAGATTTGATTTGAAAATGATACCCATGTCTCGGGTTCGATAACAGCTAGACTGTATAGTTTTCTAAAAAATTTATTTACTGAATAAATGGACAACCATTAAAGCTAAATTTTAAAATTATTTAAATTTTATACAGGGTGTTGCACATTTACGAAATATATCATGTGGTGTTTTTAGGTTGTCATACCACTAGATTCTAAAGCAATGTATAATTTTCAAACTAAAAGACCAAGATTTTCCAACCTATATTAAATATAAGATAAATACAAATCTGTTGTTTTATTGAAAAAATTATTTTTTTTTTAATTAATATTATTTCATTACGTAAAATTTTTGATGTAAAAACATACAATATTAAAAAAAAATGATTTATAATAAAATAGAAAATTAAATACATTTTTTATGGGAGGGAAATCGTGTTAAATTGTTTTATAATACATTTAATTTTATATATAATTTTATAGTATGGAAATTCCCAGGAATTTTTCATAAATTCTCTGAAATGTTGAATATTTTTAAAGTGGTTTATTAATTTTGGAAGTATAACATTGATTAAGATACTCTTCAATCAACGATTATAAATTTAAAAAAATAAGGTAACAACATAATCTAAAAGAAATTACTTCATCAATTAAATAAATATAGGTATATTGCAATGTGCATAGCATAACATAATTAATACTGCAAAATGTTACTTTTTGATATAACTTTTCAGGAGTACAAAAAAGTTACTGTTTTCTAAAAACCTAGAAGCATGAAGAAAAAAATATATTACCCATAAAACAATTTTTATGCTTCTACATTTTTATAAAAGTACACAGTAACGTTTCTTTCTCCTAAAAAGTTACATGCAAAAGTGACATACGACGATAACCTACAAACAAATGTGTTTAAAAATAGTTATTTATGTTATTAGGCTGAGAATTCTCACTTAAGTGACCCTTTTTGTGCTCAGCTTTGTTCATGGTTCTATACTTGAGAAGAAACACACGAATATTAATTTTAAAGCCAGAAATAAAATACATATACACAACACAAGAAATAATAATAATTTAGCAGTTCCACACGTCTACTCAAAGTATGGTAAAGCATGTTTATTATTTAGAGGTGTTAATATATATAACAGCTTACCAAAAGATATAAAAACGAAATCGACAAGACATACAAAAGAGTATTACAATCCTTGATAAGAGGCTAACCTGGGTGTCTTCTTCTTGAGTATTGAATTTAAAAAAAACAGTTCAGTAAATATGTAAATTAATGTATAAAGTATATTTGCATTGTATATTGTATATTTGTAAGACTATAATTATCTTATAAGATAATGTTGCTTTATCACTGTGATAGATATATTGTAATTATTAGATGTTTAGAGTTTGTCCCTCTATAAACAATCTATGTTTCTTGGGATCAATAAAGTATTTTATCTACTCCTACAACGACGTGCTGTAATTTTATGGCGTTTTATTGACGGGCTGAAGTTAACAACAGTGGCTTTTCGACATTTTACGTCACGGACTGAAGTTAGCTTTATTATAAATTGGGAAAAAGTGAGGTTAAATTCGGGTGACAGTTGACAGATGTCAAAATTTTACCAAATAAAATTGGCTTTAAATTCTGTTTTGTGTTCGTTGTAGATAAAGTATAGTATGCAACTCGTTTATAAACTTCTCTAGACACTAGTTTTTATTAAACACTCGCTCGCAAGCTTCGCTCGTGCTTAATTAAACTCGAAACTAAAATGGCGTTTATAAAACTTGATACATACATACATATACTTTATGCACGATGACATTATAATATGACAATAGAGTAATTGCATCAAAAATGAAAATCCCTAAAAACATTTTTATTGTAATCTAGAGGTAAAAACACATTGCGAAAATATTTTTTTATATTCCAAAAGTTCAACCCGGCCCCAAAATATCAAATTGAAAAAAAGGTACTTTTCAAACGTTCCGAACTCCCGCCATATTGCATGACGTCATAAGCTTCACCAGCTGTCAGAAATCAAGATGTCAACAAATAATAAACACCGATAAAGTTTATGTTTAACATGGAAAACGCGAAACCAAAAATTGGTTGTAAATATTGTTTTGTGCCTTGTACAAATACAACCTGGAAAACTCCTGGGAAAAGGTTTATCACCGTGCCAAAAGGGAAAATAAGGATAAAGTGGATTAAAATAGCTCGGCGCGATATCAAAACATCGTCACCATTTTATTGCTCATTTTAAGGATCATTTTAATGTAAGTAAAATAAAATGTCGTTTACTATAGGTATATGGTTTGAATAGGTATGTTAAATATTAATAAATTCAAGAAAATACGGCTGAGCCGTAACTACTCTCAGTGTAGGGTCATAAACTTTGCTTTTGATAATTGAAGGGACAACTTTCCCAGGAGTTTTCCAGGTTGTATTTGTACAACAAGGCACAAAACAATATTTACAACCAATTTTTGGTTTCGCGTTTTCCATGTTAAACATAAACTTTATCGGTGTTTATTATTTGTTGACATCTTGATTTCTGACAGCTGGTGAAGCTTATGACGTCATGCAATATGGCGGGAGTTCGGAACGTTTGAAAAGTACCTTTTTTTCAATTTGATATTTTGGGGCCGGGTTGAACTTTTGGAATATAAAAAAATATTTTTGCAATGTGTTTTTACCTCTAGATTACATTAAAAAGGTTTTTAGGGATTTTCATTTTTGATGCAATTACTCTATTATAACAAAAATTCTTTGACGTAAACGTCTTTTTATAGCCCGCGGGCGTTATTATGGCCCAGCGGGCTATAATGAAACGTCAAAAATTAAAAACAACAATGTTACACCATTTGATATATTCTAAGTAAGTTTTTTCGTATAAAGATTTTGATTTTACCGGCAGCAGGCCGCAATTTTTCGCCTTTTCAGCTGCTTCCTCAATTTCATTTATCTTTAAACTTTAAAACTGACTGATGTCAGTTGACATTATAATATGACAATTATAACAAAAATTCTTTGACGTAAACGTCTTTAAAAACAATAATATATTAAAAATAATAATAAATTAATCGTGCATAAAGTTTTGTATGCATTGCTGGCATAACTGGTTTTTATGGTCCTACGACGCTTTTCTAGCCCTCGCGCTAACGCGCTCGGGCTCGAAATAGCGCCTCGGACCATAAAAACCTTATTATGCCCTTAATACATAAATAACTAATATTATTGAATTAATCAAAGCAAAAAAATACACTTCTCAGCCAGATGACATACAATACCTTCAAGGCACAATACATATAACATACAATTAAAATAATAATTGAAGGTGCAAATGGATACAGGGGTTAAGTAAAATTTTTAATAAAAAAGGACAAAAAATAATTTAATTGCAATACCAACTTTAATTTGATTTAAAATTACAATTTTTTTGTTTTGAGAGACTAGTATCATTTAGTAAAATTTAAATTATAATTAAATTTCCATTTTGTTGGGTCAAAAAACAAGGCAATTTTTAGACACCATCAAAGATAGAACTTTATATTATTAGTTTGGCAAGCCAGAAAAAATCTGCAGATGGAATATTCTTACATTAATTAACATTAATGTGGTACATCCATAACTAAGACGGACAATGATTGTGCTTGACTACACAGAGAGAAAAATTTTGCCAAAATAACTATCCAAAGTATTGTTAAATGACGTATCGTGAATTTAGTCAACTGTTTTATTAAACTGAGGATCTGTATAGCTGATTTAACCATACAAATCCTCAGTTTAATAAAACAGTTGACTAAATTCACGATACGTAATTTAACAATACTTTGGATAGTTGTTTTAGCAAAATTTTTCTCTCCGTGTAGACAGACAAGGAGAGCAATGTTTTTTGTACTCTCCTTTTCGTCGCGCGTACGTTCTGGTGAGCCAAAATGTACCAGACCCCCTTAAAACTCCCAAAATTCCTGGGAATTTTTCCACCTTTTGTACTATGTATACTTTCATACTCATATAATTTGTATACCTTTCATGAACTGTCCAAGATTTTGCAAAACTTCCTGTATTTGCACTGCTATTTCTCTAGTGGGGCCCAAAATCAAAACTTGAGGTGCATCATTCTGAAGATTAACACTCTCCAAAGCAATAACAGAAAATACCACCGTCTTTCCAGTTCCAGACTTTGATTTTACAATTAGATCTAAAAATATCTTTAAGACTCTTTTAAAACAACTTTAAGAATATCATACCAAAACCACATCTTCCTACAGGAATAGATTTTAGCTGAATTGGTGATGGTTTTTTAAAATTATGGTATTCAAGACCATCTAGAATATGTTGAGGCAAAAATAACTCTTTAAAAGACACATTTTCTTCCAAAATTACATCTTTAGTCCTTTCTTTCTCTTCTAATACATGAGCCATAATAAAAATAACAAATGAAAACAACCTTCTTTGAATTTTTAACGTAACCTCAAACAACCTAACCTAAAAGTATATGTCAAAACGTTTACAGTACTTTTGTTAGTTTTGATTAAAATATTTAATAAAAGTAGTTAAATACATAACAACAAACAAATATATAATATATAATACAAATATTACCGTTAAAGAAATTTTAAAACCATTTCAACAATTTTAAAGGGTGTTTTTTATGTTTGTCAGTTGGCAACATTGTTGGTGTCGACCAATTTGGCATTTAAACGATTTCTTTCTGAAGGATTTTTCTATGGTTTGTTGTGTTTGGTAAAAACTTTTGATTCCACACAGTATTTATCTGGTGTTTGTCTAAATTTTAAAAACATTTCAACAATTTTAAAAGGGTTTTTTATTTTTGTCTGTTGGCAACATTGTTGGCGTCGACCAATTAAATTTGAAAGATTTGAACTGGCATTTAAACGATTTCTTTCTGAACGGTTTTTCTATGGTTTGTGCTTGGGTAAAAACTTCTGATTCAAAGTTAGTTTGTGTTTACGGTGAAAGAAAATTATAAATAATCCGAAAAAACAATAAAGGTAAGCATATTAGATATCATAAAATAAAAATAAACGTACCTACAGGTAAAATGATAGCCATATTTAGATACTTATATCAGTAAACTGATATTCAGAGACTATCAATGTTTATTACATATTCGATTTAAAATTTTTACACTAAAGCCATTTCAAAATGATTCATTTTTGTTTTATTTATTGTTCTTAGGTTTTGAAATGGACAGGAGCAAATTACCAAAACCTTCAGGGTTAAGAATGCCACAAATAAGATCTGCAAACAATGAAAATCAACCTAAAAGCAACCTACTCAAACCTACTCAAATGTTTCTTAAAAGAAAATCAAAATCGTACTCAGATCTGTCGACCATTGGTAATAATCACAAAAACACATTTAAACCAACATTACAGCCACTTACATCTAACGGAATAAATAAACCATCAATTTCAACAACAAACACTAAAATGAGAAGAAGATCAAAATCTATTACAGATTTATCAAAACCAATAGTAAAAAAACCACTTACAAGGCCCCCTGTTGCAACTACATCTAGAGCACCCGTTAAAAGGGGAGCCACAGATAAGATGCCAGATGAATCAAAGCCCAAAGTTATGAAACAGCAAAAAGTTGCCAGTTGGGATTACAAGGGCAAATTTAATCAATTGAATGAAAAATATCTTGCCTTGCAAGAAACTAATAAAAATATGAAAGATAAATTGTCAGGTAAGAAAACTACCCTATTTATCCCCCTTTTAAATATTAAATTGAAGGTAAAAACAGTTTTTGAGGGGTGGACCCAAGTAAAACTAAAATTATCATAGTTTTTTGTCTTTAAAATTTCAAGAAATCTGCCATTACTTTATTACCTTACACCTTAACAGTTTAATTTTCAACCCCTAGAGTCTAGGGCCTAGACCATAAACACCATGGTTGATTTTAAGTTAAAATTAAATTAAAAGAAATGTTTCATATGAAATTAAAGATAATTCTAATATGGAATCCTAATATTAGCTATAATTAGCCTATTAGTTCAGTCAATCTGTATTTTGGCTAGGGTTTTAAAGTGTCGGAAAATTGGGGAAAAAACTGTTTTTTCCGTTTTTTTCCCAGGCCTTGGACAAAATTTTTTTTGGGAAAAAATATCCTTACAGAAAAAAACCTAAACATTAAATTAAATTGATTTAAGAAAATAAACTTAAACGTTAAATATACTGTCGATTGGGTCTTTTTTGCTAAAAAGGAGTCCATTGAAAATATCCAATTACAAAATAATGAATTGTTAAGATTAATTGCAGTTCTTTACATGTCAATAATACTTATAGAAAACTCAACCCTCAGTTAGATAAGATAGTAGTGAAACAAGTGTCATAAAACCTTTTACAGATGGTTTTATGCACACAAGTGCCACTTTAGAGTAAGACAGTATTCTAACTTAATAAGGACCTTTTTGTAAAACAGTTGGCCTGTACCGGGCATAGAGTCAAGTCGCTTTTATACATTTTATTATAAATAAACTTTTCTTTACTTTTAATAAATAACTCATTGCAACCTCATCCAAAATAACAACATGAATGATTTATAAAGTTAAATTACAAAATTTTAATTTTATATCTCGAAGTGTCGAATAAAACAAAAGTTATGTTAACACAGTGGCGGCTCGTCGTATAAAGCAACTGAGGCCGGGCCTCACATGTTAAAATTATAATATAATTTGAAATTTTCGTACATTACCTACTTATTTAAATATAAAACGTTTTAAAACTAATTTCCAGTCATTTAAAGTATCAAAACATAGAATAACCATTAAAGTTTAAAATATTTCCTTTAAATTTAGCGCGCACCCCTTCCAACTTTAATTCTAAACGCTTAAATCATTGCCCGACCGCATAATAGGGAAATAGTAATCCCATAAATTTGCGCTTCATATACGTCACACATTTACGATACAACATCATGCTCCCCACTGCTGCACGGTGCCGCCGGCACCCCCGCAAGTCGGGGATAATACGCAAATTTTTTTAGACAATGAGGCCCACAAAGTTGGGCTTGTACCACAGCATGGAAGACAGCAGAGTCAGTTCCGAGATCTGTGCGGCTCGCTTATTAATTAGATCTATGGATGTTTATAGTTTCTGTTTTCTGTTTAGTCTTTGCCTTAGCGTTAAAATGGAAAGTTGTGATAAAAATGCAAGCGTAAAATACATTATTGTGTTGTGAATGCATGTAAAAATAATTCAAATAATTATAAAAGATCATTTTTATTTTAATATATTATTATATTAACACACAAATACCACAGTAAAAATCACAAGAATATAAATAAAAATATTCATGTCTTTTAGTTCAGTGTTAAGTCGTCGAGTTTCATATAGTGCTTGTACATTATTATTTTGTTGTTGTGCGGTTGTGCCTTTATTAATCTAAAAATAATTATTGTAAGATAGGTAAAAATGAGCAGTACCTCCTGGGTAATGTGGAAACCTTCTAAAGGAATAAATACAAATCCCACCTCGTCCCGCACTTTTTGTATTATTCTAGCTAAATTTTGAAAATTCTTCTCGTGAAAGAACATATTTTTAAATAATATATTTTTCTTACTACCTCGACTCAAAATACGTTGTTTCGTCCCCGATTTCACGGCAGAAAGTTTACGTTTCTTGCATTGGTCAAGCTATACACGCACACTCTAATAGCGGGAGTAAAAATTTTTTAGTCGTTAAGCACAATTCAAATTTCGTACTGCCAACATGAGAAACACAAAAATATGACAGTTTTAAACCATAATTTTGCAATTATAACAACAAATAAACAATTTATGTTTTTACTTTTTTACTTTTTATGTGGTTTTAAGTGTTTAATGGTACTTTTATTTGTTATAAAGTAGTAATTTGTTAATTAAAATACAACCTTTTATTTTTACTGTATTGGCACCGCTGAATTACCATGACAACGCTACAGTTTGATTGATTTTGAATGTAAACGTCAGAATTAAATTAAACGTCAGATTTAATTTTGACAAAAGTTTTTTTATATACATTTAATTTTTTTCCGTATTTTCTGCGGGGTAGCAAGAAAAATAGTATACACTACACGGGCAGAAAGTGTGAGAGTCCTGAACTGCGCGCCATGATGCCCTCGGCTTCGCCTCGGGCATCATGGCGCGCAGTGCAGGAATCTCACACTTTCTGCCCTTGTAGTGTAATATACTATTTCTTACATTCTGAAGTGCTCCAAAAATTGCCTGCGGTGCCATATAGCGGTTCATGGGCCTCACCTTCATGAATGGTCACGAGCCGCCACTGTGTTGACTTGCATTTTTCCGTATTACCCTTTGAATAAAATGAGAAAAATGCAAAAGTAAATTTTTCTGAAAATTTTACAATTTTTTCGTTTTTTTTTCCCGGAAAAACCCGTTTTTTTTACGGCTCATTTTTTTCCGAAAATTTTAAAACCCTAATTTTGACATCAAAAAAATTCCAAACTGACTGGATTTTGGATATATTATTCCTGGAGGTCTAAAGGGTAAAATGTAAAATTTCCCCTTCCTGTGCTTTCCCCCCCTTTTCATAAAGTTTTTAATCGTTTAATCTTGTTTCCTATTGGTTGGACAAAAAAAAATTTAAGACAAAAGGACCTCCAGGAATAACTTATCCAAAATCCAGTTGGTTCGGAATTATTTTGATGTACCCCTTATTTTTCTACATATTGACTGAACTATATAATGTACAATACAATGTATAATAATTCACTATACTGCCGTGCTTAATGAAAACGCCGTAACCAACAATTTTACAATTTTTGAAGAAAAATTCATCCTGCGCCTATCCCCGCTACTCAAAAAACCGTATCTATATATATACGGTTTTTTGAGTAACGGGAATAGACGCAGGATGAATTGTTCTAGTAGAAAATGCCTTAAACCAAAAATCGCAAAATTGTTGGTTACGGCGTTTTCATTAAGCACGGCAGTATAATATATTTTTTGAGGTATTTAATTCAGTTTAATTATTAATTATGACAATCTGTACACAATCTCAATTTCAGTATAATTTTAGTACATATAAAAATTAATTAAACCATTTTTAGAGCTTTCGGATATTGAAATCAACTACGAAAAAATCCAGGAAGATATTGAACAGTTACACACAGTAAAATTGGAGTTAACCAGATGCAACACAGATTTAACTGCTGAAGTGAAAGCTCTTAGAGAAAGCAATGGTAAATATTCTTTAGAGCTTGAAACTCTAAAAGAAAACCATGACAAACTTACATGTTCACATAAAAAATTGGTGGAAGAAGATAAAATAAACAGAGAAACAGTAGCACATTTAAAACATGTAGAAGAAGAACTAGAACAGTTAAAAATTCGATATGAAACCCTGAACAACACCCATGGTAAACTGAAATTGGAGTATGATAGCAACATTATTGATAACGAGTATTTAACAAGATCATTCAATAAGGAAAAAGATGATAATGCTCAACTGGTAAAAGAAGTGGCACAACTTAAAAATCTCCTGCAAGAACACAACGCATTGAGACGACAATTACACAACACTATTCAAGACCTCAAGGGCAACATCAGGGTGTATGCTCGGGTGAGGCCGCCCCTAAAAAACTCGGATGAGGATGACAAACTGCAGTGCAGCATCAGCTACTTGGATGAGTCGTGTTTGGAGATACGTAAGACGAGGGAGAGCGTCAGCGTGTCCGGCAAAGTGGTCGATTGCAAGGCGGAATTTAAATTTGACAAGGTTTTTGCGCCGGAAAGCACGCAGAGCGATGTTTTTGAGGAGCTGGCCCAGCTTGTGCAATCCGCTTTGGACGGGTACAATGTATGCGTGTTCGCCTATGGACAGACGGGATCCGGAAAAACGTTCACCATGCAGGGCGGGAACGAACCAGAATTGTATGGTAAGTCATTTTAAACATTTTTTTTGAACAGCCATTACTGTAGCACTACTCTCATCTAGGGTTGGGAAAATTTCACTTTTTGCTTGTACTTGAAATTTCACTTGAAATTTTCATGACATTTATGAAATTTATTAAAATTTACTAAATTTCTGAAATTTCATGTATAATATAAATAGTAAATACCTATGTTTACCAGAAACTTCTTGAGATTTCCTTTTAAAATATTTTTAAAATTACTAAAACTAAAAGAGATATAGCACTTTTTGGTAAGCTAATGAGATTGTGCCACTTTCATTGTCTTATATTTATATATATTTATTATTTTTAAATATTTTACTGAAATTTTACGAAAATTGAAGAAACTTCATCAAAATGTTATGAGCCAAAGGCATTTTTTATCCGTTTTCCGATACAATTATAGCAAAAGTAAAAGTTTAAATTAATCATGACTTAAAAAAAGTCTGATTTAATTTACAAATTAAATTGGTAACTGAATTAAATTATTTAAATTAATTTATGCATATAAGTAACAATAATTACTTATAGTGTATTTAAATCCAAGCCGAACTAAACAAAAACGCCCAGACGCTTGATAACTCGTTCTTATTGGTCGATTCGGAATCTGTTGTAAATTATTATTAAAGGTCCCAGGGGAGGCCGCATGTGAAATTTATGCAAAATTTTCAGTAAATTATTATTATTAAATTGAAAATTTCATTTGAAATTTTAAAAAATTTCACTTTTCCAACTAAATGAAATATTTCAAGTTTGAAACTTTCAAAGTTGAAATTTTCATTTGAAAATTTCAACTGTCCCAACCCTACTCTCATCTAGAAATCCTGTAAAATTCAGAGAATCCGCCTTAAGTTGAGACTCAAAATTCCCTGACTTTATCTTGACTTTACTCGACTGTCAAGAAAAAGTCAGGGAATTTTGAAAGTCAATTTTTTTAATTTTTTAATATTGTTTTCCTAGGTTTAGGATTGTTATAGAAGTCAGTGAAATTTAAGGAAATGTTATCGTTTATGTTTTAAAAATTAAAATTTAAAAAACACTTTTTCGTTGCGTCGTGTGAAATCGGTGGTAAAAAAACATGTAAAACTAAATAACTAAATAAATGACTTAACCGTAATTCTGACAGAGCACTTCTTTGGGCGCTAATTGTTTTTATTTTTTTTCGTTTATTTATCGGTAATTTTAACGACTGGACAGGAAAAACCTGTAAACATCAGGGAGTTTAAAATAACGAGTGAACCCTGTGTAGTGTAGACAACAACAATCATTTCTCAATTTAGAAAAAACACCGGTTGTAGAAAAAATCCTGCGTGTAATTCGAGCGCAAAATAACATTTCCGCTCTCTTAAGGCACAAATAACTATTGTTTACCCCAGAAAAAGTTTTTGGCGCTTGGTTCCTTTTTGATAAACGTTATCCACTTAAAATATTTGTTTGTATATTTGATTTCAACACGCTCTTAAAAAAAGCGTCAAATTAAAACTTACTCTATATATACAGGGTGAATTTTAAATTGACGCTTTTTTTAAATGGTAAAATATTTATAAAAAAACTTTCAATATTTTAATCAAGACTACGCGCATTTATTTCACGAAAATTTGTATTTTTCACAGACCACCAAAACAAATGGACGGATTTGTTTACGTTTAAAAAGCGAATAAAGCATAGTTTCACATTCTAAACACCGTCGAAAGAAACACGGCTTCCAACGTTGTCAGAAGTATAAATTACACGCCTTTTTGGACGTTCATCATAACATAATGAACATTAATAATTACCAGTAATTCGTTTGAATAATAAAAAGGATTGTAAAAAGGATTTGTTCATCATTTTCTTTAGACATTTTTCTCTATTTAAAGGAAGTAATTATTAAAATTAAATATTAACAACGTTGGTAAATTCGTCATATTTGACAGCATAGAAAAAGGTTATGTTCTGTGGGTTGACAGCTTTTTGTTTTGTGTTTTCGTTTGTGTATTTCTATCGTGTTTAAGTTAATTATGGAGTTTAAATACATTATTTTTTACTAAAAATAACAATACATGGAAATATCGTTTGTAAGTACCTACCTACTTATTATTTTTTTAATTCCAATACGTCACTGGAAGAAAAAATAAAATTATATGGCCAATTTAACGCTTAGACTGTGACCGTTTGTTGACCGCAAACAAAGCATTGTTATTGAATGGCAATGCGCCGTCCATTTGTTTTGGTGGTCTGTGGTATTTTTTTTTAATTATGTATTATATTTGCACATTTTTTAAAATTATTTTATCATTTTTCGTCGGTAAAATCGAATTTATATCAAAAGCATTCGTAAATTTCTACCGGCAAAACGTTCAAATTTCTGCAGAAAACATTCGCGATTTTTGCCTTGTAGATTAGCGCACAATGTGGGTAATTATTTCCAAAATTCGTAATTATTTTATTGGATTAATAAAAGAACGTAAGTTTCTGTACTAAGTTTGAAAAAATATACAGGGTGTCCCAAAAGTCAACGATATCCTTAAGGATCAGCTCATGACTAATCAGAATATCAAAACATGACTTAGTAAAAAATCATTAGTTTTTAAGACATTGGCATTTTTATGAATTTTGTGAAACTTGACACATAATAGTATATTAGACTGGGCCAAAAAAATTGACTAATTTTTTTTTTGAAAAATATATCGAGAATGTCATTCAGAATGACAAAAAAAATATTTCGTGAAAATTTGAGCCCTTAATATTAATTTTAAGAGGTCTATCATCGCTATTTTTGATTTTTAGTCATAATTTGATGTTTTACGTTAGAACTGTCAAAACATTAAACTGAAAAAAATTCCTTGTCACTTATTTTTATATAAAATTAAATTCTCTACAAAAAAGGTCTGATTGAAAATTTTCGTCAGACGAGCCGTTTCCGAGTAATTGAGCCTAATAAATCGATGTGTTTTTTCGATTTGCCCTTTTTACTTTGAAATTTTGTAACTAATGAATCAATGAATATTTTAAAAAGCTCACGTCGGATTCTTAAAGGAAATTTAATGTTCTACAAAAAAGGTCTCCTAACATTTTTGCCTAAATTTAATTCTTCAAAAGTTATTCACGAAGAAAAAATTCAAATTTTAAGTTTTTCTTCGATTTCGACTAAAAATCAAAAATAGCGATGATAGACCTCTTAAAATTAATATTAAGGGCTCAAATTTTCACGAAATTTTTTATTTGTCATTCTGAATGACATTCTCGATATAGTTTTCAAAAAAAAAAAATAGTCAATTTTTTTGGCCCAGTCTATAGTATATTATGTATCAAGTTTGATAAACGCCATTTTATACACGAATTTAATTTAGGCACGAGCGAGCTTGCGAGCGAGTGCTTAAATTAATAAGTGTATAGAAAAGTTTATAAACGAGGTGCATACTATACTTTTTCTAAGACAAATACTTAATATTATCTTAAAATGATTTAAATCAAAAATTTGTATAGAGCGCCATCTATAAAACAATAGGGGAATCTGTGTGTCACCGTCAAATGTCACATTTTTACATTTTATAAACACAATTATAAAGGTTATAAATCGAAATGTATATTGAAAATTTACAGTTTTTCACAGTAAAAGTAAAGTAAATGTTTTATGAGGAGTTTACAGTAGAGTCCGTGCCCGAATTTAAGTTAGATAGTTTATTGCCGGCGAAATTAAAAGGTCAGTACAATGTTCATATAAACTTTTCAAATATTAGCGTTGAGAAACTATTTAATATTTTTGTATTTTTGTATTGAGATAATAAAATAATTTTCACATTTAGTAATATTTTACAAGAAAGGCACTTTATTTTAACGATTGTATGACATTTGACAACTGTCAACTATCTTAAAACTAACTTCAGCCCGTGACTAAAACGCCGTAAAGCCACAACTTGTCAATGTGTATTTAAAAAGTCACTTAGTGTCATGGAAACATGTACGATAATGGTCGTTTTAAAGGTGGGAGTAGAAAAAATCAGTTTTTCGAGTGCCACAACTACAACATTCTAAATTCTTAGATTAAATTTTATTTTGCGTAACCCTGAATAGGACCGCTATTAATTACAATTAAAAATTAAATTAATAGTAGATTTTGTAGCTGTGGCACTCGAAAAACTGATCTAAGGTGTCAAGTTTTACAAAATTCATAAAAATTACAATATCTCAAAAACGAACGATTTTTTACTAAGGTCATATTTTGATTTTCTGCTTAGTCATGAGTTGTTCTAACAGTCCTCCAAAGGATATCGTTGACTTTTGGGACATCCTGTATAAAATGTGAAAAGAAACATTTGATAAGGGTGAAAAATACCTGAAATGGCAACAGTAATTTTAATATTTTCAAATACTAAAAGTAAATATTTTTAAGGTATGATTCCTCGAACAATTGACCTACTTTACTCAACAATCGAACAACTGGAATCCTCCGGTTGGAAATACACAGTGCACGCGAGCTTCCTCGAAATCTACAACGAGAACATCAGGGACCTATTGGATCACAAGAGCACAAAAACGTGCGAGGTCCGTTTTAACGAGGGCAAAGGCACCACGGTGACAAACTTGACGATCCAACCGATGGAAAACGCCAGCGACCTGAAACACTATATGACAATATCGCACAGAAATCGCGCAGTTGCCGCTACGGACTTTAACACGCACAGTTCGCGGTCACACGCCGTCACGAAAATTTATCTGGAAGGCACCCAGCAAGAGTCTCAAGCGGTGTTTCAGGGCTCGATTAATCTGGTGGATCTTGCTGGATCAGAGAGCGCAAAGACCAGCTCAAACGACAGACTAGTCGAGACCAAGAACATCAATAAAAGCCTTTCCACCTTGGGCAGTGTTATGTTGGCTCTGTACAACAAGGACAATCACGTTCCCTACAGAAACTCCAAGCTGACATATTTGTTGCAGTCCTGTCTTGGAGGCAACTCAAAAACACTAATGTTTGTGAACATTTCCCCATTCGAGGAATGCTACATCGAAAGCATCAACTCTCTACGGTTCGCGGCCAAAGTTAAAGAAGTTAAGTTAGGTTCGAAAAGAAACAAAACTATAGTTGCCAAACAAGTTTAGATATTTTAAAGTATTTTGTCCTAGTAAAAGTCAATGGAGTTAAGCCACAGAGAGAAAAAAAAGGCCCAAAGATTTTCCCAAAAAGTAGCATTTTTTGTTTTTCTCGCGTGATCCGAATTTGTGGCTTGACCATTGAATTTTACTAAGACGATATGCAAAGTACAATGTAAATATAATAGATTTAGTTTGTTATAGTACCGATAATTGTATTTATCATACATATATAAAGAAGTTTTGTTTTATAATACATTGCAATTTAGTGGTTTTAAATTAATAATATAAGGAATTAGTTTGTTTAAAGCGTTTTTAATAATATATTTATATAGTTTTTACTTTACAATTTTTTTAAATACATGTATATTGTTTTTTATTATATTTTAAGATCTTGACTTTTTGTATTGTTTTGTATTGTTTTTATTAAAATTAATAAAACTAAAATAAACGCATTTTATAATTTTCTCGGAATTTTAATATATTATGAGATTACAGTTCAAATTTAAGTTTAAACGGATCTAAGTCGCTGAGTTAATTTAGTAAGTAAAGTGGTATTTCCGTTGATTTTACGTAAAAATTCTATTTTGATAAAATATTTTGCATTCAAAATTAGAGCCATATCCCAACTTTCGTTGCATTTGAACAACACAATGGGGTAGTTAAATTTTTTCTGACCTATACTTTTTATGGTTTTATTCAAGGCGTTTTGTAATTTTAAACATTTCTGTGAAATCGGAATTTCAATTGAGTTTACCGTTTTCGAGATATTTACAAAACAAAATCTCCTAATTACGTCACCAGGCTATTGACAACGTTGCCAGCTTTTTCTATGGTTGCCAGTGTGTTTAGCTTACGATAGATGGCGCCACGTTATAATATTTTAGTTGAGAAGAAGAATTGATTTTTTGACGTTTTTTTTTTCGGGTTGTTTTTTTTAAATTTAGATTATTGAAAATCAATGTTATTGTTATGTTATTTGTAATTGATATTAGATAAGTGATTTATTAATAACGGACTCCAAAGCACAGAAATCTTGTGGAATGGTTGGTTACATTGAACATTGGAGCTTTTAAACAAAAAAAGTAAGTACCTATAATTATAATCATATTTTGTCGTAAATGCATTTCATTGGTATAATGCCTAGTTATTTATATTCTTTTAGATATATTATTATTTTTTGTAAATTTATTTCATTCATTTTCAGCTTTATTTTGCCACTTTTTTCTATGAAATAAATTAAACTCTGCTTTAGACAGTTATTAGGTACCTATTTATTACATTTTATTAGGTTTCACACGGTGTTTCAATGTGTAAACCTATCAATAAAACTTTTAATTTCAGAATTTTCTTTAACCTTCTCTTCTTCTTCTTTCACTCAACTGACAGTGACAGTATTTGTACATAACCTCTTCGGGTATTTTCTGACATAACCGAATGAAATCATTAACAAGACAACTTGACAACAGGGTAATTTTCAACCAATAGAAATCTTAGAATGTTGGTCACATGACGGGGTTTGTGACGTCATAAAAATTTATATTTTTTGTAAATATCTCGAAAACGGTAAACTCAATTGAAATTCTGATTTCACAGAAATGTTTAATATTACAAAACGCCTTGAATAAAACCATAAAAAGTATAGGTCAGAAAAAATTTAACTACCCCATTAACAATTTTAACTGATTCAACGTCCACTATTTACAGAGACCCTTAATTTTTGGAATGGACCAGCTTGGGCAAGGTGTAAGCTAAATAAGCTTAGAGAAAGTAAGGAAGAAAGCGACCTACGGCCCCCTGACTGGTACAGCAGTTGGATTTGAAGGGTGAGTAAAAGTTGAGGTTGACGGCCAACGGCCGCACACATACCCCCAGCTCGCAAGCCTTCTGTCACCAAACAGCGATAGCCAACCATCATTAAAGCCATTCTTGATATCGTTGACTATTCGCTCAGCTTGGTGAACGACACTTAATCCTCGCTTAAAACAAAACTACTCAAGATAAAACAATATAGTTAAATGTCTTTTAGTGGTACATTTTAATATGTAATTCCTTATTTAAGGATATAAGGAAACCTACCCGGAGACATATAGCACAAAAACCAGATAAATCCATATAAATGTCTGTGTGGTAAATTTTAAAATGGTATTCACTATTTAACCATATAATGTACATAATTATGTGTGAATATGTGTTTTGGTAGTAAGTGACGTCACAGTACTGTTCGCAAAATATCTCCTTTTTAAGACTACCATAGTAGAGGTTATATTAAAAAAACTGATATGATAAGTAACACTTTATGACCCTTGGAAACATAAGTAATTAGGACAAATATTTATTTGGGTTTTCGTCTTAAAAATAATTATTTTGACATGTTCAATCTTTTCCTAAATTTGTGCCAATAAGTTTATGGACACCTTTTATAACAAGCAAAGAAATTATGAAAAATTACTTTTCCTGTATATACCTAGCACATGCTGAGTATAATTCATAAATTAATTATAAAAATATATTTACATTAAGCGTTGGTAAGATAAATCCATTCCCAAAACTTGGCCACACTTATGGTATATACCATGGCAACACTGTTATGCACTTGCATAGTTCATAAATTTAAATTATAGCACTATGACATCTAATGCATTTCTGTGAAATCACCTGGACCTCACCTGGAGCTCATTAGCTGAATCATTGCTGAGCTCATCCTGAGTTATGATGAGATCATTTGTGAAATTAATTTCACAAATGATCTCATCGAGAACTCAGGATGAGCTCAGCAAAGATTTAGCTAATGAGCTCCAGGTGAGGTCCAGGTGATTTCACAGAAATGCATTTAAATTAATTTCACAAATGATCTCATCATAACTCAGGATGAGCTCAGCAATGATTCAGCTAATGAGCTCCAGGTGAGGTCCAGGTGATTTCACAGAAATGCATTTGATGTCCTAGTGAGCTCACTGTGAGCTCACGCGATGATTATCACAGTGATTTTTTAATGAGTCATAAATGTTATCTGGGTAACATTACTCGGACAATTGCGTTAATATGACCTAAATTGCTTGATAAAGTGGTCGGAAATTGGATTAATAGAATTTGCTTTGTTACAAGTAGCCGCGGAGGACATTTGTCAAAAATTATTTTTTAACAAGAATGTCATTAAATGTTATTTCATATATAGGTAATAAATATTTTTAAGATATTTAATTTGGTTTATATTTAATTAAAATTTAAAGTTCGGACACTCTAAAAAAATCACCCTTTATATATATATATATACAGGGTGTTCCACATTATATATCTTTTAAAATAACTGGCACACGAGCACCCTGGACAACAATCGGGATCTCCTGGTGAAGTCATGATGATATCACAACGTGATTTTTTTTATCACGCTGTGATATCCTGACTTCTTACACATCACAGTGTTATCATGTAGAACTCACTGTGTGATATTTGCAAAATTTGCGCATGCGTATGAGCCCTGCGAACTGCGAATTTAACCTACCCCGTCTGAGTAAGTCAGAATAATAGCAATAATTGGGAGTCTTCTGGTAGACTTTTAGGAGAGAAATGGTAGGTAGGTACCTATAGGTAGCAATAAAAATAAATATCCGGAATTATTCAGAGAGGTTGTATTTGGTTATTGATAATTTAATTTATTTTAACAAAAAAAGTAATAGTGCAAATTAAAGTGAGTAGGTACTTTGTGTTTTATTTATCAATGATAAATAAAACAAAAGTAGGTACTTATAAGTATACTTTAATTTGCACTATTACTTTTTTGTTTAAATAGCTGCTTACAATGAAAGTTGGCCATATCCCGGGATATGGCTTTAATTTTCAATGCAAAATATTTTATCCAAATAACATTTTTTTTTCCTTTTAAACTGTAATTTGGTGAAAATTCATTTTAGGTCAAGCAGGCTCAGACTAGAAAATGAAAGCTGTACTATCATAATGGTACGAGTATATGCATATATTACACCTAAGTATCTCAAAGTCGCACAGAGGTCATTTAAGTTAAATTAGGCGGTAATAAATACAAATATGAAAATATTAGGTTTTAACTGTGCTTAAGTTGTGTAAATAGCTTAAGATACATTAATTAACTAGTTTTTTAAGTTTTTCTTTTTCAGTTGTTGCCTACATACAGAGTGTTTATAAATAATTCAGTATTAATATTAAATATTTTAAGTAAGTAATTAGCAATTTTTTTTAAATTTGTTCGTAAATCAAATGACGTTATAAATTTTATTTTTAATCAATTTTATAACCAGGGTGTTTAATTTTTATTCAAATTAATAAATATAAATATATTAACAAAATCATATTTTAAACGTACCAAAATGTATCTACAAAAAAACGAAAGATCAACTAGGTAATAATTATACTTAAACTAGCTAAAAATCATATCTTATTGCACAATTTTTGATAAGAATTTTCAGAATAACTAATGTTTTCATTTTCATCCATTTCATTTGACAAACGAGGCTTTTAAAGCAATTTTAAAACTTCTTTAATTAAGGGTTGGTTATTGGAGCGAGTACCTACACACTTGGATAATGATGATATGAGTGTGTCAGACAAAAGCAGTAGACTACAAATACATCTTTTATACTTTCCTCTCTTGAACATTTTCTGGAGTATGATTCTCGATAATTCCAAAAGTCTTTGTTCCTAGATTCAAGGAGTTCTTCTGAAAACATGCCTATCGGACGAGGCACAGCCTTTATAATTTCTGGACCGGGAATAAGTATCTTGTGAAGACTCGCTGGCATATATACCATGAATACAACTCAATGCGGAGTGTCGCAGTGCTTTTGCAGTACTTTTAACAGCTTCGGTTACAGGATTATTGGGTTTGGACAGATTGCGTGATAATAGGTTTAATTGCTTGAGTTAACCAACTAGTTGGTTATTGGGATTCGGATTATGGGGTTATTGGGGTAGGGTTCTTTGGTTATGTATTAATGGGCTTGAATATAAAAGTTATTGTGAATAAACAGCTT